CTAGAATTCTTTAAACATTTGTGCATTTGCTTAACAGGAGTCCTCTAAAACCAGACATCTGGAAGTTGCATTGGGAAGGTCACAGGAGACAAAAATAAAGCAAGTCAAAGGAAAGGTTAATCATATGTGTTGTTTTCTTACTCTCTTCAAGATCTATCCTCACAGCACAGAAGAAAATGAAACCAATCTTGTACCTTCCTCCTCACACACAGCTTTTTTAACATCGCATTTCGTTCTTACCACAGACTGGCGAGATGAGCAGGGCAGGGATTACAGCTGAGAAAATTACATTTCCGAGAGGCAGGACCTTAAGTTCACACAGCAGGCTAGACAAAAATCGGCGGTCAGAAGCCAGTGCTCTTTAGAAGAAACCGTGCTGCTCCAGCGGTCTGACTTTCTAAAGGCCTAATTTCCATTCACATGATTTCCTAAGTTAACGCCTATCGTTCAAGGATTCAAACTTCAAGAATTACTGTGTGGTTGCAGCTAAGAGCTTTCCACTCATTTAAGTGAAGTGAATCACCCTAACGTTTTCTTGGCACAGGACTTTACCTCTCCACTTCTCTTTTTATTTGATTTTTAAAACTTTATTTTTGTAATTACAGTTTATAGTCCGTATCATTTTGTATTAGTTTCAGGTGTACAGCACAGTGGTTAGACAATCATACTTTACAAAGTGTCCCCCTGATATTTCTCGTACCCACCTGGCACCATAGTTATTACACTACTATTGACTATATTATCTATTCTGGACTTTACATCCCCGTGACTGTTCTGTAATACCAATCAACACTTCTTAATCCCTTCACCTGTTTCACTCAGTTCCCCAAACCCCCTCCCTTCTGGCAACCACCCATCTGTTCTCTGTGTCTCTGAGTCTGTTTCAATTTTGCTTGTTTATTTTGTTCTTTAGATTCCACATGTACGTAAAATCATATGGTATTTGTCTTTCTCTGACTGACTTACTTCACTTTGCATAATACCCTCTAGGTCCATGCATGCTGTCACGAATGGTATGATTTCATTCTTTTTTGTGGCCAGGTAATATTCCATTGTGTACACGAGTGTGTGACACTTGTCCACTGACAGGCACTTGGGTTGGTTCCATGTCTTGGCTATCATAAAACACCACAATCAACAAAAGGGTATGTATATTCTTTCGAATTAGAGTTTGGGGTTTCTCTGGATATGTTACCAGGAGTGAAATAGCTGGGTCATAGGGCAGATCCATTTTTAATTTATTGAGAATCCTCCATACTGTTTTCCACAGTGGCTGCACCAACTTGCATTCCTACCAGTAGTGCACAAAAGTTCTCTTTTCTCCACATCATCACCAACACTGGTTGTTTATTGGTTTATTGATGATAACCATTCTGACAGGTGTGAGGTGAAATCTCATTGTGGATATGTGTTTCCCTGATGATTAGTGATGTTGAGCATCTTTTCATGTCTCTTGGCCATCTGTATGTTCTCTTTGGAGAAGTGTCTATTCAGATCCTTTGCTCATGTAATTGGATTGTTTTTTTTGGTGTTCAGTTGTTCAAGCTCTTTATAAATTTTGAATAATAATACTTTATCAGATGTATCATTGGTGAATATGTTCTTCCCTTCAGTGGATTGTCTTTTCATTTTTGTTGATGGCTTCTTTTGCTGTGCAAAAAGTTTTTAATTTGAGGTAGTCCTATTTGTTTATTTTTTTCCTTTTGTTTCCCTTGCCCAAAGAGATATATTAGAAAAAAACATTACTAAGAGAAATGTCCACGGTTTTATTGCCTATGTTTTCTTCTAGGAGTTTTATGGTTTCGAGTCTTACATTAAGTTTTTAATTCATTCTGTGTTTATTCTTGTGTGTGATGTAAGAAGGTGGGCTAGTTTCACTTTTTTTGCATATGTCTGTCCTATATCCCCCACATCATTTATTGAACAGACTGTATTTATCTCATTGTATGTCCTTACCTCCTTTGTCAAATATTAATTGAAAACATAAGGCATGGGTTTATTTCTGGGATCTCTATTCTCTTCTATTGATCCATATGTCTGTTTTTATGCCAGTATCATGCTGTTTTGATCACTCTGGCTTTGTAGTATAGTTTGATATCAGGTAGCATGATACCTCCGAGTTTGTTTTTTCTTTTTCAAGATTGTTGTGGCTACTCAGGGTCTTTTGTGGTTCCATTCCATATTAATTTTTGGATTATTTGTTCTGGTTCTGTGAAACATGTCATTGGAATCTTGATAGGAATTGTGTTGAATCTATAGATTGCTTTGGGTAGTATGGACATTTTAATGATGCTAAGTCTTCCTGTCCATGAGCACAGTGCATGCTTCCGTTTATTTCTATCTTCTTCAGTTTCTTCCTATGGTATTTTATAATTTCCGAGGAAAGGTCTTTTACTTCATTAGTTAATTTTTTTCCAAGCTTTTCTTTTTTAGGCAATTGTAAATGAGATCCTTTCCTTAGTCTCCCTTTCTCACAGTTCACTATTGGTGTATAAAAATGTAACTGGTTTCTGAATATTAATTTTGTACCCTGCTACTTTACTGAATTCATTTATCAGTTCTTGTACAGTTTTTGTTTGTTTTGTTTTGTGGGATCTGTAGGGTTCTCCATATGCAGTATCATGTCATCTGCAAAAAAATTAATGACAGTTTTACCTCCTCCTTTCCAATTTGGATGCCTTTTATTTTTTCTTCTTGCCCAAGTGCTGTGGCCAGGGCTTCCAATAGTATGTTGACTTTGAGTGGTGAAAGTGGACATCCCTTTCTTGTTCTTGATCTTAAATCAAATGCTTTTAGTTTTCCCCCATTGAGTATGATATTAGCTGTGGGTTCCTCATATAGGGCCTTTGTTACATTGAAGTATGATCCCTCTATTCCCACTTTGCTGAGAGTTTTTATCATAATGGGTGCTGAAATTTGTGCTTTTCTGCATCTATTGATGTCATCATATGATTTTGATCCTTCATGTTGTGGTGAACCACATTAACTGATCTGCAGATGTTGTAGCGCTCTTGCGTCCCAGGAATAAATCCCACTTCAACACAGTGTATGATCTTTTTAATGTGTTGCTGGATTTGGTTTGCTAATATTTTGTTGAGTATTTTTGCTCTGTGTTCATCAGGGATATGGGCCTATAATTTTCTTTCTCTGTAGTATCTTTGTCTGGTTTTGTGATTAGGACAATGCTGGCCTTGTAAAATGAGCTTGGGAGTCTTCCCTCTTGAATTTTGTGGAACAGTTTAAGAAAAACAGGTGTTAATTCTTCCCTGAATGTTTGGTAAAATTCACCTGTGAAGCCATCCAGTCCAGGGTGTGTGTTTGTTGGAAGTTTTTAAATTACTGCTTCAATTTCATTAGTTGTAATTGGTCTATTCAGACTTTGATTGTTCTTAATTCAGTTTTGGAAGACTGTATGTTCCTAGGAATCTAGCCATTTCTTCTAGGTTGTCCAATTTGGTGGAATATAGTTGTTTAAACTCGGCGCCAGTGCTGGGACTGAGGCCACTCAGCAAAGGTCTCAGGGTATACCAAGATTAGCTGCTACCTGCTGGGCGCTCACACAGCTTTGTGGTGGTGTTGGGGGTCTCAGGGAGTTGTCAGGGTAAGGCCAAAAGAGCTTATCAGGCCCAAACAGACCAAGATTTGGCCATCTGAGGAGAGGGTTCTACACAGGAAGGATAAGTTTAAGGTCAGGGAGAAAGGGTCCCTGTCCCAGAGTCACACAACTTGGTCTCTGCCATCTAGACGAAGGCAGCTGACAACTCAGCAGGGCGTGAGCTCGGCAGGGCAGGGTGATAGGTAATCAGGAGGGTGGGGTCTGTGCTTTCCTCCAGGCTGATGCTATGGAGGGCAATATTCAACCCAGGGCATGTAGAAGAGGGACCCAGCAGAGGGACCTTGAAGCTGTCCCTTCAGCTTTCTCCCTGGAGTCACATAACCCAGTCTGTCCTTGCACGACTCCACTTCTCTCTGAACTACACTCCCTCTGCCAAAGCCCAGGTAAGTGGCCGTGAACGAGACTTTAGTGTGCTGGCCCTTTAAGGGAGTGCCTGAGTTTTAGCAGACTCCTATTTCTCCCTGGGTACTGAATCCCTGCTGATTTTCACAGCAGGATGTTATATGGGCCCCTCTTCTAGGCTCTGGTGCTCAGAACTGGGGAGCCCCGTGTGAGGTTGAGACCCCAGGGGGACCTCTGAGACTGAGATATCTCTCCGGATTATCAACCGTCCCAAGTGGGTGTGGGGCCAGGCCTTTTCACATCTCCGCCCTCATACCAGGCTAGATGTGGCTTCTTTTGGAAATCCTTGGTTATCTGACTTCTGTTCAACTAGTCTTCAATTGGTTATTCCAGTTCATTCATTGTTCTATAATTTAGCTTTAATTCCAGTTTGGACCTGGGAGGAGGTGAGTGTAACTTCTACCTACTCTGCCACCCCTTGGATCTCCATCTCACTTTAATTTTTAAGAGACACGTCTGTCCCGATAAAGCACTTTTAAGTAGCAACTTGCTTTCATGGTACAACAGGCACTGACATCAAACACAAGAACATTCCAGTATGTGCCTCTTTGTGTCAAGACTAGGTCCTGACAAACCCGACCTATTCCTTGTCTGCTTTCTCCCCTTGATTCTCGCAGCCACAGACCCAGGTGCTCATTCTGTATTTATGACCGCTGCTTGTTCTTTAGAAAAGCCCCAGGGGCTCCACGGCTCTCCTTTTCGTGAATCACAGGGCTGCCCCTTGGTCTCTGCCTCAGCAATGTGCTCAAGGACCGCTCACCCAGGCGGCCTCCCAATGCTCGAACAGTACCTCCTCACACCCTCTGCCCTCCCGAGGGTGCTTCGCCCTTTGCCACGACGGCTGCCTTTCCTTTTCTTCTTTAGGTATCTCATTACAGAAGAAAACCCAGGAGGCAGGTGTGGAGTAATGAGGAAGTCATAGAAGTTTCTCAGGATTATTTTCTACATTACAGTTCTGAGCATCAGAAATGAAGGTACGTACCACCTGACCAGTAGTCCATGTTCCATGAAGTTTTTCAGGTTAGGAAGCGTTTGCCTCAAGTCTGGAGTCCCAAGTCCATGTTGATATCTTAGCTGCCAAAGAAGAAAAATAGAATTAAAAAAAATTCTGGCAGATATTAGGCAAGCCTTCAGAAATATAACCTACCGACATGTCTTTTCCTATGTTTGAACTCTAAAAGAAGAAATATGAATGTATGATCCCAATAACACCAACCACACTGTTGGGATGATGTTGAAAAGTAGCTTCTTCATTTCTTGCTGCCTTGTCCCTAGAGTCAGAGACGACTAAGACGGACTGACTATGGAATCAGGTATTTCAAAGACCCCTGTAAGATTCACTAACATCAATTCCAGGGCTACATACTGTAAACCAGTGTTTCACTCTGGGTACTAGAGGCTGGTATTATATACTCTGAGCATATTCAGCCCTTCTTGCACTGACCCTGCCCTCCGTGTCATCAAGGGCAAGAGTCATGTGGTATTTGTCCGATTCCCAGCAGTGCTGGATGGAGCGCTGTGCGCGGTCAGTGCTTATTCAACAGGTATATAGCAAGTCACTGCTGACAGAGACTGTGCTCGGTATTTCTCTTGCATCTGTGATTTCCCTCTTCAGCCAGAATCAGAGCACCGAGTTGTAGGGCTAGCATGAGGAAATTATGGCCTGTGGGCTTGATCCGCTCTTAGTGTTACTTATTTTTAGAGGCTTACTTTCTAAAATTAAGTATCCTATGTTCCGTGCGTAACTTGCTAAATGATTTTCATCTGTTCCTGGTCTCCTCTCATTCTGTTTCTGAATACCATTTCCTTCCCTAACTGACCATAATAAAATCTGAATATATGCATATTCAAACGCATAATATTGAATATACAGTAAATGTACAACATAACCCTGTAGAAATGTGGTTTTCAAATGACATGACATGAAAAAAATACTCTGTAACCTGCATAGTAGTGTACAAATGAGAAGCGTGGTCACTTTTGAAGTTTTACTTTTCTAGCACCTAACTTTCAAAGTTTTTGTCTCTTAAAATATAAAACCAGTACTAATTAAAAAATTAAATTTTCTTTTGTTTCTAGCTAATACTCAATTGCTTTTTTATGTAACAGAGAAGTTTATTCCCACTACACTGAACTTTTAAAGGAAAACTCTCAAACCTAATCAGGTCTCTTAAATACTCACATAAAAGCCCTGGCTGGCATAGCTCAGTGGATTGAGCATGGGGTATGAACCAAAGAGTCGCAGGTTCCATTCCCAGTCAGGGCACATGCCTGGATTGCAAGCCATGACCCCCAGAAACTGCACATTGATGTCTCTCTCTCTCTCTCTTTCTCCCTCCCTTCCCTCTCTAAAAATAAATAAATAAAATTTAAAAATAATACTCACATAAAGTAAGGTGGTAGAAACATAGAATGTTAAAGCTAAAAAGTATCTTGAATATTATTTAAGCCAATCCTTTCCTTTTGCGGATGGGGAAACTGAAGCCCAGAAAGGGGAAGTAAATTCTCCAGGACCACACGTTTCAATGGCAAAGATGTTATTAGCCAGAGCCTCCTTTTCACAACTATGAAAATTCACCATTTCCCCGAAAGTGAGAGGAAAATTAGTACAAACACTTGAGAAGACAAAGGGAAATTATTCTTTTCCTTTTCCAAAACTCAGCTTGCTGACCTAAGTCACCTCCTGAGATTTGTTGACCTTGAATTATAAGATCTACTCCACACAAAATGACATCATTTCTTATATTAATATTAAAGTATTTTTTTCATACATTGATAAAAGCAAAATGGCTGATATCCCAATATGACATTCCTGAATTCATTGTTTCAATAAAAGAGAAATTGTTTACACATGGCATGGAAATTTCACCTGTGATTCATACTGAAAGATATTAAATATCAAGAAAAGCGTGCAGAAGTAGCCCTGAGCTGTGTCCCTGAGCCAGTGTGTAGGCAATCGCCTGCCCAGGCTCCACGATGGGAGGCGGGTGTGGAATTCTTTTCAGAGACCACAACGAAAATTTGTCTGCAAGTCTGATTTCAACCAGAAAAGGAAAATGTGGGCATTTCCAGCCTCTACCCAGGTCTTAACTCTTCATTTGCTGCATAGCACTGTTATTTTTTGTTATAGAATCGTAGGCTATTATAGCTTAAAGAGCCTGGAGATCATCCTTTCCAACCCCCTTCCTTTCATAAATGAAGAAACACGACTCACTAAAGCAAGTGTCTGCCCCAGGGCACAGAGATGATAAGGAACAAAGCCAAGGCTGGAACCAACCTCTTAATAAAAACTCCAAATTCTTTTTACTATGTCATCCCTTTAATTTTCAACACACAGGATTAAAAAAGAAATTTGCACATAATACAAATATATTAATTTAGTATTTAAAGTAAAGTACATGTATTGTTTAGTAAGTCTACACTATTATACTGCTTATAATAAAAAAGCAACAGTTCTCTGCTCTTCAGTAGCCACTGCTTTTAGCTGCTTCTTTACCTTTATATCTCTGACTAATATACTTATATTAATATTTCGTATTCCTTCCCTCCCAGTTTTAGGCATCATCTATGATGTTTCTGCTATGAAAAATGAGAAGTTAGTTCTCCTACATTATTCTCTTAGGCAAACACTTTATCCCCTTACCCACACATTACCTACTTGCCTTTTATTTAAGACTATGAGGGTTTAACTTTCTGACCTCCCAAATATACTTCTCCTCATCCTCTCAAGATATTCAAAATCACATTTTTTGTTAAGTCAATATTTAGTGTTTACCCTACTACACCTACAAAAATACGGTTCACTGCTAAGCCATGTAGTATACTATTCCTTTTTTTTGTTAGTTTTTTGTTTTCCTTGAAGTGCTAATTGCCTCTTCTTCCCACTCGTTGAGTACCTATGTGCCTATCCTTAGATCTTCCTCAAACTAGGACAAAACCATAAAATCTTCCTCAATCTGATTACACATAACTTAGCACGTCCATTTTGCCCTTTGGAGACCCTTCCTGAAGCATTCCTCCCCCTGCTCCAGTGTGAGCCGGCTGCTTCCTAGACTAGTTCCATTGTTATCTTCCCAGAACCTCCCTTCCCCATCCCTTGGACATTTTGCTTACCTCTTCTGCACTGATCTCAGGATCGCCCACCTCCCTCTTCTTGACTTACACTGCCTTGTCGTGGTGGAGCACATCCTATCATAGATTTCCAGGGAAAGAGAGCATGGGCGGTATATTTTTGACACCTTGGATATTGAAAAATACCTTTATTTCATTCTCACACTTGAATGGTAGTTTCCCTGAGAATAGAAATCAAGGCTATGAAAGAATAATTTCCTTCCGAATTTCTAAAGTATTGTTTCACTGTCATTCACTTTGCATATGACAATTGAGAAACCCAATAACATTCTGATTCCTGATCCTTTATATGTGAGCTCATCCTTCTCTCTGGAAGCTTTTAGGGTTTTATTCTTTAACCTAGTTTTCTGAAATTTCAGTGTTTAGCCTTGTTTGGGTCCTTTTTCATTTGTTGTGCTGAGTACTTAAGTAATTTTTTTCAATATGAAAACTCTTATTCCCCTAATTCTGATTATGTTCTTGTAATATCATTATCATTATTATTAGTAATTTTACCTCCTCCTTCATTTTTGTACTTCTGAATGTCTTCTTTTTTCATCTTAGACTTAAAAATCATATCAGAGGCCTTTCCTTTAATGTCTAGTAATCTTTGGTTGTCATTCATCTTTACAATGCACTAGGGGATTTCACTTTAGACCGAGTAGATGGAAACCTCGCTCTCTCTGTGGAGAACACGTCAGACCCAGGTCTCATTGCGGGGCCCAGGTTTTTCTGGAGGAAGTCCTCCAATCTCTATGTAGGGGTATAACCTAGATCCCATTTTGGGCGTTCAGTAGGAAAGAGTGGTTTGGGAATTCAGTGCTGGTATGCCAGACTCTCACTTAATCCCCTTATTTTTAGTAAGGTATCTTACTTCTTGCTCCAGATACAGGCAGTTCAGAATTCAGAGGTTCTTGGGTTCAATTTTTTCAGAAATCAAACCTCCAGTCTCCACTGGGGTGTGTGCAGAAATAGCTGGTTGGCTGTGCAGGGCAGGGCAAGTAACCTGGAGTCTTAGTTTTCCTCACCCTATTTTTAGACTTATCCTTACCCTTACACTCTATGAATTCACTGGTATGTCCAAATCCTAAGTCCTTCTGAAGTTCTGTGACTTGAATTACATTGCTTCTTGAAGGCTTTAGGTTTTATTTTTTGCCATTCCGCCAATTGTGTTTATTACTCATTTATTTGCTTGTGATTTTCTAAAATTTTGTTGGCTCTTATCACTTGGTCTTGTTTTTTTTTTTTTTTTTTTTTGTTCTTTTTATGCTTGGGAGTTTATAGTTTCCATTTTATCTTTATTAGTTGTGTTTCATTAGGGAATAAATAAAAATAAATATATTCAATTTGTTTACCATGAAGTTCCCCATATATATTGTATAAAACAGGTTTTCAATATTGGCTAACACTCCTCCTTACAGCCTTTTACACAGTACTCACCCCTCTGTCAGAGAGCTACCTTCCCTGTCTCTGAGTCTCTCTCTCTAGATCTGGTCTTATTTTCTATATCTGGTCATATCCTGTCCATTCTCAAAGAGCCGACACAAGTTCCATTCCCTGCAGGAAGCTCTCTCTGATTAATCTAGGGTAAGGGGCATTTACTCCTCTTCCCAAATCCCTTCTTACTTGCTGTCTTTGGAAAGTTGTAACTAAATTAATAGGTACTTGATGAATATTTATTAATTAATAAGTTAAATTGTTGCAGCCTGGGAGGGAATTAAGAGGCATCATGACATAACTGGAATGAGCTTAGATGCAGAAGACCTTGGTTTGAGTACCGTGCTGTCCTTATTAGCTGTTTGACTTCGAGTAAGTCACTTCACTTCTCCGAGTTTTAGTCTCCTTACTTGTGAATGGGGATGTTATTCCTGCAGAGCTATTGTAAAGTTTAAATAAGATCAAGTATATAGAGCACCCAAAACAATATCTGGTACACGGTAAGAGTGCAATAAACTGTACCTATT